TTTTACTTGTATAGTCTCTTCATGGACAAACAGTAGACCCAGTTCCAAAGTTGCCATTGTTCTACAGTGCTATAGACCAGGTGGACATCAGCATTGAAGTTTGTGGAATAAAATTTCCAAATCCGTTCGGCCTGGCCTCTGCTCCTCCTACCACTAGCACAGCCATGATCAGAAGAGCTTTTGAACAAGGATGGGGCTTCGCTCTGACTAAGACATTTGGACTGGATAAGGTACCACACGTGCAAACAATGTACCAAACCACCAGTCACTAGAACGACTATACTTGCAGGCATTAAAGAGATTTATTCACCCGAACATGTATTTTACGATACCTTACAATAAATCATTGTAACATATCAATGTTTCCTCCTTGCAGACCTTTGCTGTTTTTGCATTTTTATATTTTTCCCATACCAATGTATTATGTAACCTCAGATTTATTCCTCAGGAAATTGTGAGCTTACAAAAAAATTTAAAAAAAGGGAAAAAAAGTGATTTGTTTAGGATTCTTTACCAGATGAACACAAGTAAAAGCTTCAGAAAGAAAAACACGAAAGCTTTGTTGTGTCTAGCAAGTTTCACTTTAAGGACCCCAAAAAAAGAAGTTAACCTCATGAATGGGCTCTATAAATCTGTGTCTTTAGGATCTGGTGACCAATGTGTCTCCTCGAATTGTGCGTGGTACAACATCAGGCCCTCTTTATGGGCCCGGTCTGGGCTCCTTCCTCAACATTGAGCTCATCAGCGAGAAGACAGCAGCCTACTGGTGTCAGTCGGTTGCTGAGCTGAAAAAAGACTTCCCCAACAACGTAAGTTTGATATTACATCATACCTTTCCTTGGTGATAAGCTTGTTGTTGCGTGCGCGCGTGTGTGTTCAGCTGAATGAAATGTACGTCTCAAAAAGTTGATTCTGTTCATCTGGACGTAGCGTTTTGTGGGAGAAACGTTTCGTCACTCATCCAAGTGACTTCTTCAGTCTCAGCTGACTGCAGGTGAAATGTATGATGATTTTAATTAAATAATAAATATACATTTACTTATTTTTCTGGATTGTTTCTGTACCATATTATATATTTCTTACTTTGATTTTTTTTTTCCATGAGCTTCATCCATCACATGTGCTTTACCAGACATTTCATGTCTTTAGTGCGTGTTCTCTAGCAGTGTCCATTTGCATCACTGTACCAAAATTCACCCAAGTTTGAAGTTCAAAGTTCTAAAATAAGTCTAAAATGTGTGATGATGTTTAAAAAAAAAAAAAAAAAAATCCCTCTGTGTCCATCAGGTGGTGATTTCTAGTATAATGTGTGGTTACAACAAGGAAGACTGGACAGAGCTAGCCAAGATGGCTGAGGTGATAAAAACAATATACCACTATAATCATAAACATTTTTACAGAATATGTAGTCTAATGATGATTTAATTTAATTGTAAAAATAACGAATGTATGTGTTTAGGAGTCGGGAGCAGATGCTTTGGAGCTGAACCTCTCTTGTCCTCATGGGATGGGAGAGAGAGGCATGGGACTGGCCTGTGGACAGGTACGCACACAACTGATGAAGAAGAAAAAAAAAACACCCAAATATACAAGGGAGGAAATGGATGTAAGAACAATTAAGTTTGAAGGTGTAACCATTTATTCATTTGTTGTGTCATCAGGACCCAGTGCTGGTAAGGAACATCTGTCGCTGGGTGCGTGAGGCCATTTCCATTCCATTCTTTGCTAAACTGACACCAAATGTTACAAATATTGTTGACATCGCCAAGGCGGCCCATGAAGGTAACCACACTTCACCTTTTCATTCAGTATCATTTTACATTGCTCAGTACTAATCCACAATGTAGCGAATGATTAGCAGATGCCTGTTAACAAGTCTGTAAATGTTGTGCTGTGTTATAGGTGGAGCGGATGGAGTCACAGCCACCAACACGGTCTCAGGTTTAATGGGACTCAAAGCTGATGGCGCTCCCTGGCCAAGTGTTGGTTTGGAAAAACGCACCACATACGGAGGGATCTCTGGTAAGTGCACACACATGGTAAAGTATAGTGCAGTGCTGAATAAACTTATTTATCACGTTAACGGTGTGTTCAGGTAATGCCATCAGGCCCATTGCTCTCAGAGCAGTGTCAGCCATCGCCAGAGCAATTCCAGGTTTTCCTATTCTGGCCACCGGGGGTATTGACTCAGCAGAGAGCGGACTACAGTTTCTTCATGCTGGGGCTTCACTGTTACAGGTGATAACCGATTTACTGTAACAGGTTTTGCCATTTAATAAAAGTTGATCACAGACCAGTCACTTAGATCAACTGTCTCATTCTGTTGGGATACCACAGGTGTGTAGTGCAGTTCAGAACCAGGACTTCACATTGATTGAGGATTACTGTGGGGGTATGTAGCTGCTTTTTGGCTGAGCTTTACAGGCATTCATTTACGTTTTTAGAGCTTCAAAATATTTACTTTTGTATTATTGTGACATTACACCTGTTTAGGTCTGAAGGCCTTGCTGTACCTAAAGAGCCTAGAGCTAAAGGACTGGGATGGTCAGTCACCTCCAACAGTGAGCCATCAGAAGGGAAAACCAGTTCCCAGACTTGAAAGCCTGGTTGGAAAGGTACAACTACAACAGTTATAGTAACATTTTGGTCTTTCTTGGCCTTATGTCAACCCACACCTGAATGCTTCAGGCCAGCAAACTGCCAAAACCATCTGCTAGCTGCTAGTAGAGGTACTCCCGTTTGCTGATGACAATGAGTTAACCAGCTGCATCTTATTATCATTGCCAGACTGGTACTTACCCTCTTAATTCCTGAGGAAGCAGTAAGGGTGCAATTAGTTTTGCTTCTGCTTCCAGTTAAAAAATTGTTAAATAAGTACTGAACCTGGTTAATGTGTAATGTGTTGTTATTTTCCTTAGGTTGTATTTAACCAATTTTAAAACATGCTAGAGACCAGATTATTTTTATTACGTCCTAACATTTAAAACCTTGAATCAAAAGAAGATGCCTGTTCTTTTTCATATTAAATGGTTACTTGTCTAATAACCATTTGTCACCTCTTAATGGTCAATGTGCATGTGTTTAGAGTCTCCCTAGCTTTGGTCCATACCTTCAGGAAAAGACGGAAGCCATTGCTGCGTGCAAGAAACGACTCCGAGATGCTGGTGAAACCAATGTGGTGGAATCCAACGTCGGCCGGGTCAACGTGCCCCAGAAGCCTGTTCCTCCAGTCAAGGTCCATACGCATACATATGTGCTGCACGTTGAGTTCAATAAAGCTATATGTCACAGTCTGGCTGAGGCAGACTGTAAGGAGTGAAGAAGGTGGATCCAAGTGTAGACACGCAAAATAAGAAAACTTAATATTAACTGAAGAATAAGCCTTGACTTATAAAGCAAAGAGCAGAACTAAATCATAATCTAAACCGGGTGAGCTAAACATAACAAAACCCTGGAACATAGAAACCTGGCATGAGTTCATAAGCTTGGAAGCATGACATGGAAACAAGGTAAGGTAACAGACACTCAGGCAGGGAAACAGTTGACACAAATGAGCATAACAACTTCACAGTGGAAGAGTAAAATGAAACACAATGAACATAGAAACACAAGACCTCTTCAAAATAAAACAGGAAACATGAGACGCAGACATGACAATACAAACTTGACAACCTGAAATCACAGACAAGAAATACATGAGACTAACCAGAAGACGTAAGTGAAACATAACTAACTATTAAACTTGAGGCAACTAAATAATGAACCTAGAACTTAACATTATCTTCAAAATACAACAAAAGAGATCAAAAGCCGAATGAAAGGCTGGGTCACAGACCCAGCCCCTGACACTGCATTTGGTTTTTAACCATAAATGTGTTTTTATGTATGTGTGTGGTGATGGGTTGTGTTATAGGACGTGATAGCCAGAGCACTGCGCCACATTGGAGCATACCAGGAACTTAACAACATGGAGCAGGTACACAGTTCTCATTCATTCACTCTAACCAGGTAATATTCTGACCATTGTAGTGATTTATAGGAAAAGATAAATGAACAAAAGGTCATTGCACCACATGTGTAATCACTTTTTATTTTCTAAATCAGGTTTTCTTCTCATGATCACAGATAGCAGTAAAATATCATTTATCAATATCACAACAACAACAATGGCCTTTCCCTGTGCTCTCAGGTCCAGGCTCTTATAGATGAAGAGATGTGTATCAACTGTGGGAAATGTTACATGACCTGCAATGACTCTGGATACCAGGTATGTTTTTCTACTATATCCAGACAGTCATCACTTTCTTGTTTTTTAAGAGATGTATCTGCTTCAGTCCCATAATGTGACTCTTATTTCAAGGCTATAACATTCGACCCTGAAACTCATCTTCCATCCGTGACTGACAGCTGCACTGGCTGCACTTTGTGCCTCAGTGTCTGTCCCATCATAGACTGCATCAAGATGGTCAAAAGGAAAACAGCCTACAAACCCAACAGAGGTGTACCTATTAGTCCTGTCTGCTAAAGGCGAGGATAATAATAAAACAAAGACATCCAGCTGGATTGTCTTATACAGTAAATTAATTTGTGTGAAGTATAATCTTAGTTTGAAAGCCCAGCTCCAGTGGCACCACTGAGCAGAGAGGCAGATAACATCACAATAATTGTATAGTATATATAGTAAGTGTATGTCAATAATTCCACTCTGATTTAGTTGGTAAGTCTGAATCTGACTTTGTTTTTATTCTCTTGTAGAAAATCATTTCAATGTTAAAAAGGCATTTACAGAATGTCAGATTGATTCAAGTCAAATGAAATGCTCCCCAAATAAGTTCTGTGATTTCAAATGTCTGTATTTTTGGATACAGAAAATATCTGTAAGATGGAGCACATTTTTCTACAAATTTGTGAGATTGTGTAAAAAAATTAACCAACATAAAAATATTCTGTTATACATGTGTTATCAGAAAAATGTTGTGAAATGTTAAAAATAAAAGCAACCACTATTGTGTCAAGTTATTTTATCATCCTAATACATACATTATATCTATTCAAATATTTAAGTACAGCTTTGTTGTGTTTTTGATATTAGGTAATATTCTTGTTCCTATATATTCATATACATTCATGAAAGTTGCACTAGTACATGTAAACAACATACATTCTGGGCTGGTTAGATTATACTATTTTTAGGTAGTTTGTCTCTATTTTTATGAAATTTTAATAAGTAATTTTGAATCCAAAATCTGCAAAGTCACTAATAATTTGTTCACATGAAATGTTTTATGTTCTATATAATGAAGAAAGTGTGACAGAATGCTCATCTATTTCTGTATTCAGGTTCTGTATGTGGTTAGACAGTAGTGCTGTTTATATCTTTAGTGTTTTCACATTACCAAGAGCTCAGTTAAGTCTCACTTGATTATGCAAAGTAAGAAGTTAAGTTTGAGGTTAGTAGACAGTTTACCTCTAATTTCTGTAAACGGTAAGAATTCCGTGGCTGAAATAAAAGTTTGTTTAGAAGAAGAGTTTAGTTAGGCTGGAAGCTTTTTCTTGCTGAAACATTTTGAAACAACCTTTGAAATGGTTTGAAAATATTTCCCTTGAGTATTTAGTTAGTTACTTTTTAAAATGTAGCATTAAATTCAGGAAAAAACATTGCCACATTTTCCTCATCAACTCAAGAAGCAAAAAATCACTATTTTGTAAAACAATTTTTTTTTTAGATTTCCTCTTTTTTGCACTAGGAAATGTGTTTTGTTCTCTTACTAATATTAGTCCCTTATCACCCTTAAAAAATATTTTAACATGATTGTTAACTAGACTAACTAAGAACAATATTCATTTAAAAGATTTAATTCACTTCATGAAACTGGGATTGTATAAAATACATTTTAGATATTTTAGAAAAGGTTTTTGTTCTTCGCTATAAATCTGCATCTTTAAATGTTTTTAGATGAGTCTTTGACCTTGCCACTCTGGTGGTCCGTGGGAAATTCATCTCGAATTCATCTAGAAGCTGAAATTTACTATTTTTCACTATGCCCTGCTAGCACACTCTCTTTCTTTCAGCTTTACTTTTTAACAAAAAAAAAACAAAAACAGTTCGCCTCCTCCTCATCATCCTGCTGGGCTCTGGTAATTTTTCAGAAATCATCCCATATACAGCAGATTTATTAGTTCTGATGTTTGTTTGTTTGTTCCCAGACATCCCTAATATATGCTTGTGTCTGTCTGTTCAGGAAGACAAAACAAACGTTCAAGTAGGAGCTATGTCTGTCAAGAGAACACAGTACAATATGATTCACAAGTAGCTTCACAAACAGACATAGTCATTTCTGTAATTTATATCCCTATCCATTCCACTGTAAAGGATCTGACTGATTATGATGTGAAGGCGATGCTCACCTCTGACACCTGGTCAGTGCTGGGCCTTTTTGCAGGTGCACAGGGGCATATAGTCATATCATTGTCCCACACTTTCATTATCACCCGTGTGACATTTCAGGTATGCAGTCCCCCAGTGGCTTTTCTGTTTATGTGAACTGTAAATTCACCATAACCTCTGCTGCTTACTTTTACTTCTATGCAGAAAGAACGTCTTTTTCCTTTGGGCTCCACCCTCCAAATTGTCAAAAGTTACACCAATTTACCATCGGAATTCAGCATTAAGAGCATAGCTGCCTGACAGACACTCTCACAAGCATGCTGTAGACTTCTACAGGACTGGGTTGTTCTGTGTGCAAGTGGCAGTGAATGAATACCTGTGTCTGTGAAATTAAATTATTTGCTCATGATTTTATGTTTTATCCTACGCAGGGATTTTAGCATAAATATAATTCAAGCATATGAGTCAGTAGAGATTCATTTGCTTTTGGAGCCAGCTTCAAGCAGCCTCTAAAATTCTACAGTCGATCTCCCTTTCCCCTCCTCAGCAAAGGTTGGCAGTAAAGCACCTGATGTTACTGTTGTTCACTCTTAAAAGACACGAAGAGGAAGAAGAAGAAGAACGCCCATTTTGCTTTGAGTGTCCGCATCGAAGAGTACAGAAATATCAACAGACAGAAGAGGACAAAGAGCTGCAATGGACGGGTAAATGTATTTATGTTGCAGCTGGTGCTTTTGGGTGTGCCCTCCACAGCTATGCGTGGGCCGTATTCAGAATAAAGCATTTCCCCTGCTCGGTTTGACACAGGCTAAATGTTAGCTCCCCTGCAAATCGTGAAGCTGTATAAAGCGAAGTGCACGACGTTAGCTAGCTAACATCACGAAATGTATTACTGAAATGTCTTGATTGTGTGTGGAGCATTATTCATCAGTATGTTTTATGTGTCTTTTTCTAACGTAATGGTAATGCCTCGTGTTAACAACCTAGTTAGATTAAGACACTTATGCGTTTCGGCGTAATAATGCATTGTTTTGTGTGTAAAATAAAATTGAACGTTTGCTTGCTACATTAACAAAGCTGCCGGTAACAGTGGAATCAATGTATGTGGTTTTATGGCATTGGCGACTATTACTGTCAGTTATTACAATTTTAATAAGCGATTAGTTAGCCCGGCGTTAATGAATCATGTCAAAGCCGACATGACTTGACAGTTGGTGCTGCTCGCGCATTAACTGAAAGCAGGCTCCTTTGTCTGGAATAATGTATGCTACACTCACCTCTGTCGGGGTATTGTACATTAAGGGTTTAAAAAATATATATTATTATTTCACTGTGAGAGTGTTTCGCACAACAGTTTGTGCAGTTAACTATATGCAAAATAATGCAATAAATAAAGGCGTTTTTTTTGGATTTAGGTTTGTTTTAAAACACTTTAGCATCAGTATCAGGTGCTCATACTTCTCGGACTGTACATTTGGAAAGAAAAGGGATAAACGAAAGGTGTGTAAGAGGAACGTATATCAGTTTAGTAAATATGGCCATATTCAAAGCAGGCTGTAAAGTTGGTGGGTGTGTTGAAACAGAACAAATGTGATTGTGTTAAGCGGCTGTATTGTTTTTCTTCAAGTAGTAATATGATTTAAGGGAATATTAGCACCAAAACTACATATACTTTGTCATTTTTGTTACTCGCCTAGACGGTACAGTTTCTACTTAAAGCTCTGAAATAAGAAAATTGTTGTATCTGTGCAGTCATCAGAGCTCCAAAGTATCGACAGTAATAAATGAACACAAGTTAAATTCTCACCAGCAACATAATCATTTCCAATTTTACTAAGCAATACTTCAATTTTGGTTTTAATTATGAGAACAATTATTTTGTTTCAGTGCTCACGAGATTTGCAGTTTATCCTTAATCTTTTTTCCCATTTGTTTTTGGCAGTGATGTTGCGGTTGGTGTGAAAGTAAGTTGTATTGCTGAGTTTTGGTTTTTTTCCCTCTACTCTTAACAATTATGTATTCCCTGACTGTTTGACATGATCTTTTAGATTTTTCTTTGTATACCTTTCAGATTTTGTTGAACATAGAAGTTTTAACTTTTTTTCTTTTTTTGCTTGTTTTACTAGAGAGGCTCAGATGAGCTCAACATGTACGGTAGCAGCCCCAACTCTATGACTGGTGAGTACAGTTGTAGCTTGAATGGAACCCACAAGCAGCTCCTTAAAAAGTGTTTTACGTACATATGATACGTGACCTAAAAGGTAAATTCAGTGCTAACGGTTCCCAATATTTCTATATAGTCATGATTTCACATTACAAGTTCATAATAGTTCTGTTCTTACTTCTTTGTTACAGTGATCCTTGAAAATGTGTCAGTGAACAAGTATGCCCAATAACATGACCCAAACTGTGTGGTTTGATATGAAAAGCTATTGATCCTTAATGTTTGTCTACATGTGCATATTCAGCGAATGGCAGTGACAGTAAGAAACAACGCCTGGACGAATCACCTCCCTCCAGAGTCCTCCACATCAGAAAACTTCCAAATGAGGTGTCAGAGACTGAAGTCATCGCTCTGGGGCTGCCCTTTGGAAAGGTCACCAATATACTGATGCTAAAGGGGAAAAACCAGGTGAGCTACAGTGAAATATTCTCGCTTCGGCTAGTGCTAGGATGGAAAATAAAACATTGAACTTTTACACAGAATGGGAAATTAACTATTATGCACTGGGCCTAATGCAAGGAAAAAAGGCTATTTTCAGCCGCTCCCTTATTCCAAAGGTGTCACAACAGCAGTGGTGTGATTTGTCAGAATCCAAGAACTGAACCTAATGTGAACCTGATCATTGAATACTGTAAATAGATGATGTTACATTGTAAACTGCAAAAGAAGATGATACTAGTTATCACTTTACCCCCAAAAGCAAATGTTGAAAGGACAAAACTTTCCTAGCGAGTGCTCTTGTAACAGTTAAGTTCATCAAAATATTGCTGATATGATATGATTTTATCAAAATAAAAGCTCTCTCACATTATTTTAGTCACGGAAAGCCATTACTAACATAAGGTGAGCAGAGTTTATTTCCCCCCCAAAAAATTCATTCCTATATTGAATGAGGATCTGGCCAGTTATGAATACAGGTGGACTTACTAGTCGATTAAATTCAGTGAGACTGTGTCTGTTCCCCGGGGGCTTTCATTGGTGTTATTGATGCTCTGTGAAATTAGCCATTTGTGTTAATTTTTTCCTGGATTTTTTGTCACCTCAACTGTAGCATTATCATTCTTCAAAAGTTGAACATGGTGTACTTTTCCAGGCTTTTCTTGAGTTGGGCACAGAGGAAGCTGCTGTAACTATGGTGAACTACTACACAGCTGTCACACCACAGGTCTGAAGTACAACTTTTTCTATAAACATTAATGTTTTCCGTTGTTGCTTTAATTCTTAGTAACTAATATGTGGATTTGTATTGTATTCAGGTCAGAAATACTCCAGTCTTCATCCAGTATTCCAACCATAAGGAACTGAAAACAGACTCTGCTCTTAACCAGGTAGATGGATTTATTTATTTGTATTTGTACACTAAAGACTGTCCTTCACCCAGTCCTCGATGAATTAATCTTATATCACCTTAT